GTGTGTGCATTCCCCATTCAAGCACAATATCATTTTGTGGAAAATCGTTAACTTTGAATACTATATAAAATAAAAGTTGTTTAAATTGTCTTGAAATAATTATTTCTATTTCCTTAGGACATTTCAGCATGGCATAGATGATACTGCTTCAGACTCCTTAAAATCAGTTTTCAACCAGCCGTTATATTGGTTTTCTGGCATAGCACATTTCTACCCTTCTTTTCTCAGGTGAGTACCTCTAACTGCTTTCATGTCTATAAGTCTATGATTCCTTTTAAAGTGTAATAGAAACTTTTGTCCATGGATATAAATGCATCTTTCAAAACAAAATATAATTTTTACAATGTTGTTTTTAAAACAATAAGTAAAGAGTATTCTTTTCTTCCTTTTTTTGACTCAAGCATCCAAGACACAGGCCTCATGATCATCCTACTAACTTGTATTTTAATGATAGGATGGAAAAATATGAATTACTGAAATTTAATTCAATTTTAGCTAATTGCCAATTCATTTTTTACCCTCCTTATTGGTTTATAACTAGGAATTTGAAAGTTTTCCAGCTATTTTTTAAACATCGACAGCAAAACTGGATAATTCATGGAACTAAGTAGAGCCTTAGGAAGAATTTGAAAGAGGAGTAACTTTTGAATTGCTTCATTCACTTTTCTTATTTAATTAACTGAATTTTAAAACAAGAAAAATCATTTGAAGTATGAAATGTACTTCCAGGGTAATCTGATGACATTTTGTGACATTATGTAGAATGTCAGTTTAATTCTTTGCCGAATATTTCATGGGAAAGTACCTTTTCATGGTATCTGAAAATAAAAATACCATGTATAGCTGAAGGAGAAATGTTACTTCCCATACATTTTTGATTCTTCTCAGAAATATACTCTCAGTGATTTCATCATCTGAGCTGAGTGACTTTATCTCTGTCTTTGAGAAACAAGAGTCCTACTCATGAATACAGGGTGATTTTTTCAACTGGTTGTGAAAACTTCATACACAAAAGTCTCTATAGACACAACAGTCATGTACTTGTTGCTAATACAGGTACTGGGGAATCCAAGATTCAGGAGACAGACCTTGCCTTTAAAGACCTCAACGTATTATTGTTACATTCAAGGGTATCTCAATATACTGCTATCTCATATATTAATGTATTCTTTATTATGTCATTTATTGTGTCTTTACTGTGTCCGAAGAGAACAAAAGTGATTCAAGATCTGAACTCAGGTCTGTCAAAGTCTAAAGCTGAAGTTCTTAACAACTGCACACATACCTTTCAAAGAGAAAGCAGTTTAGAGTGATGTTAATGGGTGTGCATGAAAAATCATTTTCCTGCACAAATAAAATTGTTGGTTATTCATTACATAAAGCCTCTTTATATCATACAGTTTTGCAAGGCCTCTGATATACTAATGTATGCTGTTTTATCTGCAAAAGAGGAAACTAGTTTGCCACTTCCCCAAACCTGCTGTATGAAAGAAGCCTTATTTCTTAGGGGATAAACAGTTATTGGAAAATGGGCACAGTAGGGAAGTGCCAAACTATGCCATAATGCCATACACAGAGCATAAAAATATAAGCACAGAAAAATACTGAAAGAATAAATAAGGAGAGGGCAGATTATAGTGGTTATCTGTGAGTGGTAGGAGTCCAAGTGATTTTCATTTTCTTTTGTATTGTTTTCTATAATAAATACAATTTCATTTTATTAAGAGAAAAATAAAATAGTCAAAAGCAAAAAGAAAATTCATTTTCCTCTTTTGTTCACATGACTTAACCTATAACTTCTATACAGATGACCTCTAGCTCTATATCTCTATCTCTCAGTGCTTACCTTTAACATTATATACCCAGGTGCCTATATTCTTTGCTACTGGAAACAAATATGATATACTCAGCTGATCCTTCCTTTCCTTTTTCCTTTGTCCTC